GTCCTTAACATCGTATTTATCCGGGTACGTGTGGACAGAGTTTGTTTTTAAAACGCGGTGGTGTGGATGCAAGTTTTTGGAGGGGCAGATATTCGTTTTTAAAAAACCCCGGCTACGTGTGGATTTGGCCTAAATCTTGTGATCAACTTCAGTTCTGATAAAAAAAAATCAAATATTGAATATTTATCTAAATTGTAACCCTTTATATGCCAGTTTGATTATGTGATGCTCATTTTTTCATGAAAAAAGCAGACAAAAGAGGAGATATTTTACATAAAACAAGAAAGACAAGCACAGTCCCCTATTCTTTGTGACGCTGCTGGCAGTGGGGTCAGTGCCAAGAGCCACTGTTGCAACTGGTCTTTCTTGCTAACCTAACCCTACACTTTGAAGTTCAGTAGGAGAGTCAAACTGTGTTTTATGTTCTTATCAGAGGTCAGGTTGACCTTCTGACTTCAATAAGAACAGCAGAAGATCTAAAGAAATGTGTAAACTTTCTCGCCTGAGCAACATATGGAGAAATGACTGAATTTGGGTGCAGGAGTCACAGGGCTTCATCAGCACCTACAGCTGCAGAAGAAAGACCAGTTGCAACAGTGGCTCTTGGTACTGACCCCACTGCCAACAGCGTCACAAAGAAAAGGGGACTGTGCTTGTTGTGCACAGGAAAAAAGGGAGAGAAAACAGTCACATGTTGTTTTAGATGTGGCAGATTCACATGCAAAGAGCACACAATCCTGTGCTGCACGTCTTGCTGGATGGACTGAACTTTGTCTCACCTCAAAATGCAAGCAAGCATTCACATTTCTGCACATGCATGAACAAACTGAACTACAAAGAGTCTGGATGTACCTGGGCTCCAGCCAGATGTATAAACATATTGTTTTTGTTTTCTACCCTTTGGTCTTACGAGTGAGAATGAAACTGTGTTTTGTTTACATGCTGAGCTTCTGAGTTTAATAAGAACAGCAGAAGATCTATAGAAATGTGTAAACTTTCTCACCTGAGCAACATATGGAGAAATTACTGAATTTGGAGTTGAACAGTAAAAATCATAAATTTGACTACTTTTGTCCAAAATGCAACCCTAACATCACAGAAAGCATGAATATTTGATGCAGATGATGCAGGATCAAAAACTGTGGTTTGCATTGAAGTCAATGGGACGTTTTTATCCATAACAGGCACAAGGGGGTGGTAAATTTTAAATCTGTTGCTACACAAAAAATTAAAAAGCATAAAATATGATATTTTGCCAGACTCTTGACATATCCAAGGCTGATTTAAAAAAATGATTTCAGTCACTCAAAATATGTTTTCTGTAAAATATCTCCTCTTTTGTCTGCTTTTTTCATGAAAAAATGAGCATCATATAATCAAACTGGCATATAAAGGGTTAAAATTTAGATAAATATTCAATATTTGATTTTTTTGATCAGAACTGAAGTTGATCACAAGATTTAGACCCAAAAGGCAGAAAAAAATATTAATCTGGACCGTTTTTAAAGCAGTTTTAAAAGTGGACGTTTTTGTCCTCTAATGGCTCGAGTGTATAGTAAATTTTAAATCTGTTGCTATGTGAAAACTATAAATGCAAAAAATTCTAAAATATATTTCATAACATAATCAAGACTGATTTGTACTAAACACCCCAGTCAAAAAAAATTTCTTTTTTAGAAAATAACTCAGTTTTTGTGTTTTTTTTTTTCATAAATTATAGCAATGACTTTGAGTATTCAAACTGGTATTTCAAGGGTTAAAAGCCTCAAAATGAAATAATTTTTTTGAATTTTTTGTTTGGTCAGGGCTGAAGTTGTTCAACAGATCTATGAAAAAAAAAGCAAAAAAAATAATGTATACATTTTTATGGCCACTTTTACAAGTGGACGTTTTTGTCCTCTAATGACTCTTTATGATGAAATTTAAAGTGAAGCCCGAGGCTTAAACCAGTATCATGTCTTCATTACAGAACGGCTGCCCACAGCTATTGCGTTTAGTCCCCAGGGGCTACCTACATGAGTCAAACAAGGCTTCATTATGTCCAGTAGCTTTAAGGTCTCTTGCTGCGATCTGTTGCCTGCTTTGTTGTCATACCACAGAGTTCACCGAGGCCTCATGTTGGGAAACCACTGTTTCTGTGTTTCTAATAAATGGACAAAGTACCTAATTTGAGAGGAGCAGGTGCACAAATCCATGACACTGCCTTGAGTCGCTGAACCATTCTAATACCGTAGACTCATGGCTCCACTCCAGATAATAAACCAACTGTAAACATGTAAAACATGCCAAGAATTTTGGCTTTTCTAAGGTGGCATTTTCCTCTTTCAGTCCAAACTACTTAATCGCACACAAGCATGGTCCACTTGTGTGTGTGCGTGCTGTTAAAAGCTCAGCAGTCTGGCCGATTAAATGACCATTATTAAGAAAGCTTTATTGAAATGTGCCTCCCGCCTGTCTGTCCTGTAGTGTTGTCTTTATGAGATTACAACTGTGATATTGGAACAGTTTAATTAATCTGCTGTCGGGCTAATGCTGGTTCCCACAGAGTCAGCTGAGGAATAACACTTAGATTACGTGAATGTGTTTGATGCACACGAATACTCTTGTTTGGGCTGCTGTATAAACTTAGAAGTCTATTAAGAAAGAAAACACATTAATTATTATATCTGATGTCTTTTTATGCCTGAAACCAATGATTTTGTTGTGCTAAGTCAGGATAAAACGTCAGTCGATTGCTTTCTCTACCTTTTTTTCTCACACTTTTGAGGGAGTTGGAATGACTTGTGCCTCTTGGCCAGATTGTCGTTGTAAATGAATGAGTTCTCAGTCGACTCGTCTGGATAAATAAAGGTTAAATGAAACTTGTAAAATTTGATGCAGGTGTGCATGGATATCCCTGGTGCCCATTTAATTCGTTATGACCTAAAATGCTTGTTCTGAGAAATAAGAAACAAACAATTTAATTTGGAAGCAACTCCAGACTGGAAACAAAAGCAAATCTTATTTTAATTGGGTTAGATTTGGACTTTTCTATCATGAATTAGTCATACCATTTGAATGTTGGGTGAAAAAGTACATTTTAGTAAGTAAATTTTATTCATATAACCAGGGGCGGATTTAGGACTGAAGAAGATCCGGGGCTTAACACTCGCGCGCGCGCACGCACACACACACACACACACACACACACACACACACACACACACACACACACACACACACACACACTAGGGCTGGGGGTAAACGATTATTTTTATAACGATTATTCTGATGATTATTTGACTATTTAGAAAATTAATCTAATGATTATTTTTCTATTGCACAATTAACAAAAACCAGAAAATCTCTTAATAAATTCCTCAAAAAAAATTGATAAATTCTTACTGTAAGAGAATAAACACTACAGGCCTTCCATTTTGTATAACACTGCTTTTATTGTGTTGGTTGGTTATGTTCTGGTGACGTGTAGAACGTGGGAGTGCAGGCTGCTGCATGAGAGGTGGTTGGAGACGGAGTGTCTCCATGCTGCTTTGTTTTGGTCCCTCTTCCTGGGGATTTTGGCTCGTGTGCAAAAAGGAAGGAGTGTTCTCCGATGTGCGATGTGTTCTCCAATCTGTCCGGAGCCTGTCACAAAATATTTGTTTACTTTTTAACGGAGCTACAGCGGTGCTGGTGACAATTATACAGGAAGCTGCGTCCTGACCAATTACAAGCTTGCGGTCTCCATCACTTTCGACGGATGTTTAAATTTTTGGGCATGTCTCCGTCATCCCCTCTGGGAGTCTGTCGGAGAGCTCTTGCGCCGATGCATAATAGCGTTGCGTGTCTTCGCACCGACGCAGACGGACAAGTATAAATCAGGCTTTACAAGGCATTCATCCCTTCCAAGTACCACTACAAATGTATTAAAAGATATGAGTAAAGTTCACCTTTAACAAACAGCCAATACGCTACAAAATACACTGTAACAAGGCATGGTTTTCTGGAGGTCCTGTTCCAATCTGGCTTTAATTGTAGTATTAAGATGTGTCCATTCAGACCCGGTATCTAAAGGTGCCTTGCTCTATTGATTCTGGAGACCCTGGGCAGATTAAGGTTGGTTTATGCTTGACGCATCCGCAAGGCGAAATTGCGTCATTTTAACAACCACGCCCCTCCACCGCACCTCCGCATGGCCAAAATTTCCGCACCGCGCACCTAGGAAATTTTCTAACCACGCGGCCAGTCGGACGCAGAAAAACATGGCGGACTGGCAAGAACTAGTATGGCAGAGGTTGGTAAATACAGACATTTGTATGATTCAGCTCTCAGAGATCACCGTGATCAACATGTTGTTAATAATTCTTGGAGAGAAATAGCTCGCACTGTCGGAAAAGATGAGGACGCTGTTAAAAAATGCTGGAATGCCATGTTGTAAACAGTAATTTTTACTTCTACTATGGTGTAGTTTTGGATGCATGCCGTAGAGCTCCATGCTGCCCCCTACAGTTTGGGAGAATATTGGCTCACCGCAGAGACAAGCCGCATGAACCATAAACGCTGCGAGTTGTGAAGCGCGTTCCATCCGCGAGCCGCATCACCAAGCGGAAAGTGAATGCGTCAAGCATAAACCAAGCCTTAGACTCCCCAGACAGCACATAGACTAAAAGCTGATTGGACAAACATTGATAACCCACAGACATGTACTTTTAGTGGTGCACCCAAAAAGAAACTTTACGAAAAACAAGAAACACATTTTCACTGAACAAACATAAATAAGGTTGTAGATAAAGGTTAGTGATGATTCTGATGGTTTTATTTTAGCAGAGAAAGCCTTGCTGGCTCTGATGGCCTACCATACATTTGATTTAAACGAGTGAATTTTTTTAGCTACATAAATGTCTGGCTTTTGAATTGTTATCAGTAGGAAATGGGTGTTACTTTCCCAAAAATTTGTACCATATTTTTTACATGTCATCCATTTTTCCATAATAATTTCCCTTTTATTATTTCACCTCCAGGCTTATCGGACGTCCTAATAAAAGTTGTGATGTCGCAGTCTGGAGAAAAAGGGAAGGTGAGTAATTGACTGAACTACAACACATTTATCATGCTAAAGTCTAACAGCTAGACAAAATCCATATAAGCAGCAGCACTTCCTAATGAGGCACAGGTGAAAAAACATTGAACTGGTAATGTCTTGCACAAATGCTTGTACAAGCATCCAGGGAGGATATCCTGTATAAATGGAAGTGTTTCTTGTCTTTCACATTATTGCCTGTTGGAGTTTCGCTGCTATGCTTCACCAGCAGCCTCAAATTCTTTTAAACACCTCCCTGGAGTTAAGCTTCATAAAACGAGAAATGACAGATTTACGAAGTGAAGGGATTAGTAAAACAAGAAATTCTACACATACCACAGTCCTGCTGTTTACATATGTGCTGTATCACACCCAGCATATGAAATTTATGTCATAAAAGTGAAATTTTTTTATGTTTTATGTGCTTCAGTTCCCGGATGCAGGAGGTTATGTAGGGTTTGCAAACCTCCCAAACCAAGTGCACCGAAAGTCTGTGAAAAAGGGTTTTGAATTCACCCTCATGGTTGTAGGTGAGTGATCACTCTTGATTTTTAATGTAGACTGAAAGGATTTCTCTTTCATTTTATATTTATTTTTCAGGAGAGTCTGGTTTGGGTAAATCAACACTTATAAACAGCCTGTTTCTCACTGATCTCTACCCTGAACGCTACATCCCTGGAGCTGCAGGTACAATCTCTAACACAGACACACTGTAATAATGAAAAAATGTCCGTTGCAATGTCTCCAGCAGAGCATTATTTAAAGAGGAATGCTAGGAATGCCACAGTCTCAAAACAGTACCATGCCTTCCGTATGACTTGACTTAGATTAGGATTTATTCTTTAAAAATCTTCTCTGGCCAGTTAGTGTAAATTCTTGCCCACAATTTAGATTTGAAGGCAAGTCCACCTTTTTTGAAAACTGTTAACATGAACCACTGAAATCTAAAATTAAGGTTGGTTACCTGGATGAATTACTCACCCATCAGTGATTGGCCAATTCCTAAACTAACCATTTTTTAAAAGGAATATATTTTTGTGTCAAGGATTGGACATTACTGGTCAAATCAGTGTCTTTGCAACACTCTTTTTAAAATATAGTATACATCATTAAAATACTGAGATTCACGTGATTACAATAATAAATGCCAATTAACTGTAAACAGTAAACACCTTTGCCAAACAATATGTTAATTCAAATTATGTCTAATGGGCTCGACACACGGGAGGCGACACCGCCTCTCCTCCATTCATTTTCAATGAGACATGCGCGACAAAGCGATAATCGCGGGTCTCCCTCCTACCAAGCGAAACGCGAAAAACGTGCGTGTGAAAGTTTGCACTCGTGCACGTGTCGTGCACGTACGACCCAGCGACGCGATCCCAGAAAGTTGAAACATTTTCAACTTTTCATCGCTGTCGCTCGGACGAGGACCAATCAACGGAGGTTTCATTCACTGACCAATGAGCGGACAGGATGCTCCGTACGTCTCCGAGCAAACATGGAGGAGAAGTTGATTATTATTATGTTTTATAGTAAAATCAGAAGTAAGATTTCACATAACTCTAGCAGCACCTTGTGAAACATCATATCTACCGCTTTATTCACTCTGAACCACTTAAATAACCTTAATTCCCTCCAACCTGACACAGCCAATCAAAACAACGGAAGTTTTGATTTCGCCATGGAACAGAACGCGTAGACGGCTTTGCCGCTGGCCGCTGCCGCGGATCGCCTCCCGTGTGACAGGTAATAAAAGCGACAGCGACAAATTTCGCTGATCGCGGTCGTTTGTTGCCTCCCGTGTGTCGAGCCCATTACTCACTGTTCAAAGCCTCATATTTTTAGAACCTAGCCATCCTGAACAGAAATGGTGTTTTTATGTCCATAAGGGTCCACTGAAAGTGCTTCAATCAAGTTAGTCCACTCCAAGTCCTACGTCAATAATCCAACATAATACACCACTGAAAACCGTCACGATTTCCTTCTGATGCGTCACTTTCTCGCCATAACTTCTGCTGGCATCCTTTTAATAACCTTTGATTGGCATCTTACTAGAGCTGAGTAAAATAATCTAATAATCGATGCAGCAAGATGCGGACATAAAAGATTCTGCATCGTAGAAGAACGCTATAATCGATTATAGTGGAATGAAGTTCACCAGCGTCTAATTCAAATTTGTCAGAGAGGGCTGTGTCCTCCACCTTTACCGAGTAGGAAATATTGGTCCGCCTTTATGTGGTGTTGCAAGGCTGCGCGCTAGAGTTCTAATTTGAGACCAAACCCGAACTCAGCCGATGGATTTAGTCGGATTTGGGCCGGTCGCTCCTGTGAGTTATATTAATTAAGCGGGTGAGAGAGAGAAAGATGCACGAGTTATTATTTCTCCTTGAGTCTGAGTTAAAAAAAAACTCTGGTTCAGTCGGACTGAGTTGTGGTGTCAGGGTCGCCGTCATTGGGGAGGGGGTGAGTGACGGCAACTGCAGGATCTAATCTAGGGCTGAAACGATTCCTCGAGTACCTCGAATAATTCGAGTACAACAAAGCCTCGAGCCAAATTCTCTGCTTCGAGGATTCGTTTAATTCATGTTTAATTAGTTTGTGGCTTTGCAATCGCCCGGGGTCATGTTTCACCCGGACCGAAATAAGTGACGCACATACACACTGCACTGAATGCACACGCGAGTAGTGAATGTAACTGAACTTTCTCTTAAGTCATGGCGGACAATGTGGACCCCGGTGGAGTGCGAAAAAGACAGAAAATGTCAAAGGTGTGGGACCCTTTTTCACGTCGTAAGGCGGGAAACGCAGTCCAGTGTAAATTCTGTAAAATGGATTTAGCCTACCACAACACCACATCCTCGATGCTGCAGCACCTGACCAGGAAACATCCACATGTAAATGTCACTTCTGCAAGCGGACTCGGAGGTCCGCTATATATTCTGCGGACACTGCGCGACTTTTTCGTTTGTAGCACTCAGTTTCAGCTCACACTGTGCGTCTGGTAGCAACACGTCGGACCTAAAAATGTGCTAAAAATAGCAGTTTTTACACAACACGTCGGACTTTTTACTGTGTTGTTATTGACGTCTGTTGTCCCTCGGGATTGCTGCAGGAGGACACGGGTATTTATGAGAGCGGCGGAGGAAAACGAAAGAAAGTAAATAAATGTTTTGTGATCAGTATATTTTGACATAACCACGGCAAACATGCTTTCTCGACAATCCTTGTTATTGTGTGAGAAAGTGTAGAAATTAAAACGGACGTGTGTTAATAGGGAAACAGCTGGCGAGCCATGTTTGCGCATGCGCCGTGAGCGGTTCTGGTGCTGTGTGGGTCACAGCTGCTCGCAGCGCTACTTCAACAGTTCCTTTACAATGTTCATTATGTCCTCTTTTTTAATATTAAACAAGGTTCTTTTCGTTTCGGACATGAAGGTGTTTTCGAGTTACCTTGACACGACTTCCCACTGAGGTGCCTTGATACAGCACTCTGGGAACAGCCTATTCGTTCAGAAATGTCTTTCTGTGTCTTACCCTCTTGCTTGAGGGTGTCAATGATGGCCTTCTGGACAGCAGTCAGGCCGGCAGTTTTACCCATGATTGTGGTTTTGAGTAATGAACCAGGCTGGGAGTTTTTAAAAGCCTCAGGAAGCTTTTGCAGGTGTTTAGAGTTAATTAGTTGATTCAGATGATTAGGTTAATAGCTCGTTTAGAGAACCTTTTCATGATATGCTAATTTTTTGAGATAGGAGTTTTGGGTTTTCATGAGCTGTATACCAAAATCATCAATATTAGAAACAATAAAAGGTGTGAACTACTTCAGTTTTGTGTAATGAATCTAATGCATATGAAAGTCTAATGTTTATCAGTACATTACAGAAAATAATGAATTTTATCACAATATGCTAATTTTTTGAGAAGGACCTGTATGTGCTGATGATATTTCTCTTGCTTTGATTCAACAGAGAAAATAGAGCGGACAGTGCAAATTGAGGCGTCCACTGTTGAAATCGAGGAGCGAGGGGTGAAACTTCGGCTCACTGTGGTCGACACTCCAGGATACGGTGACGCCATCAACAGCCAGGACTGGTGCGTTCATGATTTGTTAGGAGGGATAACGATGTTTGACATGTTTATTCTCTAGTATTTCCCTTTTGTCTTGTTATCATTAACTCTTTACTCCCTGTTTAAATTATATCTATTTACTTTTTATTATATTAGCGTAGCATTTCAGTGTTTGAGTTTGTGGGATTTGTTACTATTCAGTTGATATTAAAGTCCAAATTGAAAATTATTTTTGACAGTTTTTTTTTTTCTTTAACAGTTTTAAGACCATCATCCAGTACATTGACAATCAGTTTGAGCGGTACCTGCATGATGAGAGCGGGCTGAACAGAAGGCACATTGTGGACAACCGGGTGCACTGCTGCTTTTATTTCATTTCTCCGTTTGGACATGGGTAAGAAAACACTCAGTGACTAGACTGCAAGTTGCTTCTACACAAGCCAACCACGTTTGGTGCTATTAACACACAACTTCCACAGTTTGAAGGAAGCTTGCTTAACACCAGAGCGCCATGTTTTTTCTTTATGAAGGAAAGTTCTGCTTTCTCTCCTTGTTCTGTGTTAGTGATTTTAAGTTGCCTCGGTTTATTTCTATATCGTTTTTTTTATAACATCACCCTCCCTTTTCCTCTGCTTCTTCCAGTCTGAAGCCCCTGGATGTGGCGTTCATGAAGGCCATCCACAGCAAAGTCAACATCGTTCCCGTCATCGCAAAGGCCGATACGCTGACCCTGAAGGAGAGGGATCGTCTGAAGAGAAGGGTGCGTCTCATGAATAAGAACACGTGCACAGTTTTAGTCCTTCTGGCAAACTGGCTGGTTCTTTCCGTGTGGAGCATTATTTAAACAAATAGAACGCAGTAGTGGAAGCTTGGCATGTCCGTGGTTCTGGTTGTTTGAAAAGCACATGTGCACTTCCTCCTTTAATTGTTGTGATGGATGACTTTTTGTGTTTTTGATGACACCACCAGATTGTTCAGTAAGGGCAGGGAGGGGCAGCACAAGAGAGGAAACGGTAGGAGGAACAGACAGAGCAAAAGTTGTTGGAAATGAAATTGATGAAGAATATCTTGTCTAGTGTTAAGCTGTCCCAGATACTTCCTGTGGGATCTGACCCCAGTGTCTTCCTGCCTGGCTGCACGCGCCTCAGCTTCCTGCTGGCCAGAAGAGAAAGGACATAGTAGCACCTTACAGTAATACACAGATTTCACAGCTGTTCAGCTGATTAGTTTTTAGTATTTCTTGCTTTTGGGATGCACCTTTTCTGTATTGTTGTTTTCCCTGTTTGATTTCCCTTAGAAAAGAGCAGAGAAATTCAAATGTCCCTTTTATTACTGAAATACTCTCTCCCTATATTTACATATATGGTCAATATGTCAGACTTTATGAAGAAGAAGATATCATTTCTAAAGCGCCTCTCAAGATAAAAATCACGAGGCGCTTCACAAAAACAAAAAATGGTAAAATATAAAAAAGCATTTAGAAAATGTTTAAAAATATATTTAAAATTAGCAAAAATAGACAACTGTGATTAAAGAGCAAGTCATCCCCTACCAGATTCTTACTCAACTCCCACTTCCTGTTTGAAAAATGCAACAAATGCTGTTGCCTAGCAGACCAAGAGGGCGGAGCCGCTAACACATACACACACTCACGACATTGTGACATCATAATCTACCATCTAACATCATAGTGTACCTCTTAGCCAATAGCGATGGCAGATTTAAATTCAAACGCAGTACTGAGTTTTTACCTGACGATGGTGCATCACTGACAGTTTTAGGCCGAATATTTAAATTTTAACTAAGATGCATTAAAGTGCCAAATTATTATCTACATTTGTCTACAGGACGATCAGACACTCGTTTATATAGTTTATCAGCAAAGAAATGTTTATTTGGAGTGACTTGCTCTTTAAAAAAATGTAAAGAAAGAGAGAGAGTGAACAGGAAAGAGGGAAATCAGTGGATCCTGAGGAAGGTGGAATAGGTGGGGAGAGCAGAATAAAGAGAGAGAGGTGAAGAAGGTCATACAAAAGCCAGCTTGAACAGGTGAGTCTTCAGCTGCTTTTTAAAGGAGACCACTGAGTCCACTGATCTCAGGCTCAGGGGGAGAGAGGTCCAGAGTCTGGGGGCCACAGCAGCAGATGATCTGTCACCTTTGACCTTTAGCCTGGTGCTGCACAACCAGTAGGCTTTGGTCACTGGACCTCAGGGACCTGCTGGGGGTGTAGGGACTAAGAAGATCACCAATGTAAGATGGTGCTTGTCCATGTAAGGCCCTGTAGACCAGAACCAGGATCTTGAAATGAACCCTGAAGTTGACTGGCAGCCAGTGAAGCTGGAGGAGAAGCGGGGTGATGTGGTTATGTCCTTTGAAGGGATATTATTACATTCTCCTATACAGGAAGGTAGATTAACCAAGAGAGTAATGAAATAAATAAAGACAATGAAATAAGCTAACGTTCTCAAAGGGCCTAAAAACAATAAGTTTAGGGTCTTGAGATGATCTTCAGGAATCAAATAAAACAGAAAATTCACTTCTTTTAAAATTATTTCTCTGTAATTGATGTAAAACCCAAGGTCAGCTAGCGATATTTGGGGTCACATGATTTTTCTGTAAAAATGTTGTGTGTCAGAAGCTGAAAGGTTTGGGAAGTCTATGCATTTAGTCAGATTTTAGCCAAAAATCTCTCTTGATGATTCTGTATGCCACAGTTTACTTCATGCCTTCTGAATGAGAATTTGTTCTGTCTCTCCACCTTCCCTGCATGTCCTGTCCTCCCTCCTGCCTCTCATTCAGGTCAGAGCTAGTGGTCTGAGTGGCGTCGAGCTGCTCGGCTGACTCTAAAGTGGCCTCTTAGTTTCCTTCTAAGCTTCTGTGTTCATGTTTTAAATTGCTTTAATTCAGTTTTCTAGCACAACAAAGGTGGGCATGATGGACAAACTCTACACTTGTAGGAAAACGGTATTTAATGTTGTCATTTTTCTGCAGTTTTTGCAAGTTGTTCCAAAATCAAGGCAGAAATTTCTATTCTGTGTTGTCCTAAAGGGACCTGTATGTACGCTTTTATGCTTGTGTTGTGGCCTTCCTCAAACCTTTAATGCTCCTTTGGCACTTAACATGAACAAAACCGTGTTTCCTGTCACAGAGTCCCATCCCAAGCTACAGAAAACCCCCTTAACTTAAAGTGACAGTGTGTAGTTTCCCTGGCGATAGGTGGCAGTAGACACCTAAATCACTGCAAGCAAGCATTATTTTTGTGTTCAAATAAGACCTTACCAACGGATGGCCATTAGGGTCAAAAATCCCTGGGAGTGCATCCTCTAGCAAAATAACTAGATCATCAGATTCCCTTTCATCACTGGCAACGAGTGAAGAGGTAAATGTGTAAAGCAACAATGTTTATTAACTCATTCACTGCCATTGACGACTAAAGTCGTCATTTTAAGTCCAACCGTTCACTGCCAATGATGACTTAAGTCGTCATTTGCATGTTTTTACTGTAAGGGCGTCGGACGAGCCCCCGCACCATGAGAACAAACATCTCAGCTCTAAAGCCAATCTTCATCCGCATACGTCACACGTCACGTGATCAGGAAGCAGAAAATCCACGTGTTAGGAGATCGTTTTGGGCCGCTGCTGTAAAAGAAAAAAGCGAGGCGCGAACCGGAAAAGCTTCTGCCGATCACGATTCAACAACGGATTATGAAAGAACGGATAATGCTCGAAACGCGCGGATTCTTCCTGATGTAAGAGTCTCTGCTTTGTTTTGGTTTTGGCGTCGACATAATCCTAGCGTGCAACGTTCTGTGATGCTTAAAAAAACAGTAAAAACTGTGAGAAACGCTGGCAGCGAATGAGTTAATAGTGAAAGTTTTGTAACCGTTTGTTACAAATCAGTAAATGCATTTTGTCCTCACAGACTTCCGTAGACGGAAACATGGCATCCAATGTGGCGTCGCCCAGAGACTTAGACCTGATCCATGTATTTTTGAACAGATTTTTATGGCTATATGTTAAGAAACTGCCAATATTTTTCTACAACTGGGCATCTTTTAAGTCATTTACTACAACATTTTGATGGCTATATCCAGAGATTAATGGTAAAAACTACACATTGTCACTTTAAATACTTTTGGCCCAATATTTATTCCAAATTTTAATGTTTGTTTATTTTAATGTAAAATGTTAGCATGTAGTTGAGCAGTAAGGAAATGACCGATTATAAAGTATCATTGTGACTTGAAAGTTTTTTTATTTTTATTTAACGGTCACAACACTCTGCCCATCAGTTTGGTTTATACGTACGCACCACTAAGTGTTCTTTTAACAGATACTTCCTGTTGTACACTTGGCAGCAATTAGATAAGGAGTGCAACAAAACTGTCCAAGCAATGCAAACACACACGTAAGCAAATCAAAGAAAATCAGTTTTGTACACATACAGATACATCTTTAGTTGTGTCTTTCCCACTGGATGTTTACTTTTATCTAAACCTCTTCTAGTAATGGGTTTCTCGGAAGCTGGTCATTCTCAGGAAATTATATGGGGGGGGGGGGGGTTTAATTGGCCTATCTTCTCCACATTTGGAAATGGCATGTTGCAACTCTAATTAGATCACATTACTCCTATCATCTGCGGTTTGACTGTATTTTGGGCATATGTGACTTTTATCTTTACAAAGTTGTATAAAAACAGTGCCGCAGCAACACTCCTGTGCAGATGTGTTCGTAAGCATGTTCTAAAATATTACAATTTGAAAAACCAATGTCCATCGAAAGGTTGGGTAGATTCCATCTTTTAGTTCTTTTTAAAACACAGAAAGGTTTTATTTACCTGCAACGTTTCGTTTGCGGCTTCAAACTTCGTCAGGCTGACGCTGATGGTGGCGTCACTTCCTTCTCCGTTTATCCGCAGGCAGCAGAGGACGTTGTCGCCCTCTGCTGCCCGCTCTCCCCTCTCCGACGATGCGGTCCCATGCGCGATCCAACGAGTAAACTCCATCATCCCTGTTCATGGTCCCACATCCACGTCTCCTGATCTCGATAGCTTCTTTTATCCATCTTTTGTATTTCTGTTGGGGCAGTTATTCCTAACTTAACATGTCTACAGAGCCTCCAGGCTTCTGATAGACTCCTCATTGTCCCGTGTAGGTCAGATGTTCTCAGGACTCTGTCCCCACTGAAAATTTGAGAGAAGCCCATGGGACCTAAATCGGAGAACCATTAGGAGGACTGGGCTTATTACACTGGATATTCCCTCTGCTACCACTCATGCTACGCAACTGTATAGCAATTTGGTATGCTAGCTAATATTACTAGCCTGGCTCTGGCCTTGCTTCTGGTTCAGCTTCTCGGGATTTGTGCACCAGGAGTGGTATTTGGGGGGGGGGGGGGGGGATTGATCAGGATCCAATCATTAAAGTGGTACTTCACTGAAAAAAGCATTTTTAATTTATAATTTCGGATTATAATCGGTTACTGAGTTTACCATGCAGGCTTAACATGAACATTTTTTCTGACCCCTATCTCCTGCATTAGCTTGAATTCCTGGTGAAATATTTGACTTGGTTCTTTTTCATACAAAAGATTGTCTTCTAGACCAAATGCTGAGACAACAAAACAATTCTGGGTGTATTTTTATATAATAGAAAAGATATTGAAATGGTAGACTTCTACAGATTTTTTTCAGCCGCAGCTATGTTATTATTGGATGTAACCAGGAAGAACATTTTGAGAGACCCAAGATCTCGTTACAA